TCCGGGTCAGTCAGACTAAACTTGACTTTTCTCTTGTTGAAAACTTGCCTTAATTCAGCATTTATTTCCATTTTGTATCAAAGTGAAAGGCCTAGCCTCTCCTGTCACTCTCAACCAGCCATACAAACAAGTGTTGAAGAAGAAAACACTTCACCGTACAGTTCAGGGAACTCTCCTTCTATAACTATATTTACCTGCATCACTGCAGTGCTTTCAGTGACCTCGCAGCAAAGTTAGAAAGAGACAAACAGCTGAATGACGACATGAGAACGCATCATGGAGGCTCAGCAAGGCCAGAGGAAGAATCGTGTTTCCTCCTCTGAAAGGGTGTCGTGCTATAAGATGCTCCTGGTATTAAACTCATGGTTAACGTAGGTCGGATGATGATAACAGTGTCATGTTTACGAGCAGACGGAGAGTATAATGCTGCAGACAGATTCCAGAGATGTTTATTTTCTCTAAGATCGTAAAAATATAAGAATTATTGTGTGGGTCATTTAAAATGGATGAATAGGAATACTGCGTCTCCTGAGAAATTAATACAATATATTCATTTACTGCACTGTAATATAATTGTGTGGAGTGGTGTTATAGTTTTAAAGATTCTGTCAAACTGTGATTAAAAACTAACAAACTGCAGTGTGGCTTATTTTACTTTACATCTGCAGAGTTTAGTCTGACGCAGTGCAGTATGGGACACTTACATCGCTCTGAACATAAGTTGAAACGGCTGTATTCAGCAAATTTAGTGTAAATAAATGTATGTTTTGTGGGAAAGATTGATCTGAGGGTCATTTTATAAAATATTAATAAAAAAATAAGAATAATCTGACAACTAATTTATGGTGGAGCAAGAATCGTGCATGTTCCTGCCGATCAATCAGGGAGGCTCAAGTAAGAATATTTTTCGCTTTGGGGGGGGTGTCAAAAAAATAAAATATAATAAAATAAAATAAAAATCTATATATTCAGAATCTTCTGGGTCTCAGGAGGCTATTTATTTATTTTTTATGTACTTTTTTTTTTTTTTTTTACATGTTTTGTGTTTGTCTCTGCATTTTCCTGCCAGTCAGGGAGGCTCAAGTAAAATTAAATAAAATACAATAAAGAAAATAAAAGAACAGAAAATAGATTAAAATAAAATAAAATAAAGAAAATAAAAGAACAGAAAATAGATTAAAATAAAATAAAGAAAATAAAAGAACAGAAAATAGATTAAAATAAAATGAAATAAAATAAAGAGAATAAAATAATAGAAAAGGTATTAAAATAAAATAAAACAAGATAAAGAAAATAAAAGAACATAAAAATAAAATAATGAAAATAAAAGAACAGAAAATGCATTAACATAAAATAGAACAGAATAAAGAAAATAAAAGAACAGAAAATATATTAAAATAAAACAAAACAAGATAAAGAAAATAAAAGAACAGAAAAATAAAATAAAAGAACAGAAAATAGATTAAAATAGAAAAAAAATAATAGAATAAATAAAAAAATAACAGAAAATAGACTGAAATAAAATAAAATAGAATAAAGAAAATAAAAGAACAGAAAATAGATTAAAATAAAATGAAATAGAAAAGAACAGAAAAATAGAATTAAATAAAGAAAATAAAAGAACAGAAAATAGATTAAAATAAAATAAAATATAAAAGAACAGAGAAATAAAAGAAAATAAAGACAATAAAAGGACAGAAAATAGATTAAAATAAAATAAAATAGAAAAGAACAGGAAAATAAAATAAAATAGAAAATAACAGAAAAATAAAAGAAAATAAAGAAAATAAAAGAACAGAAAATAGATTAAAATAACATGAAATTAAATTTAAAAAAAGATGTAGCTCTATAAATTAGAATTGAAAACAGACAAAATAAAAACCAAACCACAATCTCAGATCAGTCGGTGACATGTTGGCTACTGCTTTTCATTTATTGTGAATAAAGCAGAAAACTCTTCTGTATAATTTCAGAGATAGTCGACACTGATATCTGATTATACGTGGTAAGGTCTCTCTTTCATATGGTATCTGCAGAGGATGGTCTCTGAAAACAAGTGTAGCATAACAGCTTTTGATGCTGCTGCGTTACTGTTATGACCCTGCTTTATATTTCTAATTGACAGTTCCCTCTTTCATGTGAAATAACCATTTCTCGGTGCACAGCCTCCCACACAGATGATGAGAACCATCCCTATTGATGATGAAGGCTGTGTTACTGGGTGGTCATTTTGCAGCAAGGTGAAGTATGAAGACCATGCATGAGTTTGTGCAGGGTTCAACCTAAATTCCTGGAATTTAATTAGTTAACCATTTGTGACGCAAGACAAAGGAATCTAACCTAATCTAATCTCACAGTGCTTTGGTGAGCATAACCACAATGCCCTGATATGTAATCAGATGCTTTTGGATGCATGTTTCTAATATTTTTTCACTGAGCAATCTTTTAAAATGATAAACATCCCCCACATTTCCTGGACAGAGCCGAGCTCTTTCCATCTACAGAGAGCGAGAGAGTTCATTTGTGATGAAAGGTCAAAATCACTGCCAGGGGAATAACATCTACAGGAACTGAACTCCTCACCCGGCCTGTGTTAGTGCCTCAAGCTGGAGCCATTAGGCCACGCACAGGTCCGTGTGCTGCTCTGAAGATGAAAGCCAACACTCAGATATAGAACAGGTGACTCAGCTTGCAGCTTGGCAGAGAAATCCCCCGAGACCTTTGACCTCCTAATCGTTGAGCAGCGCTTATGGTTGGAGATCTGCTCCAGGCTATTAGAGAGATTAGTGTCATGCAGATTTGGGAATGGGCCAAGCCTATATCTGTACTTCATGGTATTCTCAGCATTTATCACTGAGCACCCAACCCATGTTGAAATCTGATATGTGAGAGTATAGTAGCACATAGTGCAGCATGGGGCTATATGGAAGCGCAATATGTGGTGACCTACATAGGTGGCAGCCTACATGTTATGTGTACGCTGCTTATTTAAAATATGATATATTTTATGGTCTCACCCTCAAAAAATATCACTATAACTGACTGTGGATGCTGTTTAACATCTCCTATAAAGCATCTCTTTATGACTGCTGTATATGTTTGACGTATGTTTATTAATACATGCCTGCAACATCCCATAACTGTGACTACATGTGATACATTGTAAACAATATTTCTGGGCTTTTCCTTATTTTGAAAAGATGACAGACTCCGGCTGCCCCTCTTTTCTTGTACGGCACACGCCAGAGCACAAAACGAGGAGCCCTCCCGAATAAAAACAATCCCCATCTCGTAAAGCTGTTTCATCAAGGTAGCGGAAATGGGCCGAGCTGATACCGGAAGTGAGCTATTCTGCCTCCAAAATGAAAATACACAATGTGACACAAGGGATGCTAAATTGACTCTATATATATTTGATTAGAGGTGGTTAATCCTTGCCTAGAAAATTAAAACGCATTGTTTAATGTAAAATAAGACACGTCAGGAGCCCCCAAATGTTGCCGTTTCGCCTCCATTATGAATTAATATTTTTTATAATTATAATTAAAAAATTAATTTGAATGAATATGTATTTAAAAACAAGAAAATTTATTGTAAAATTATTTTATTGAATTTAAAATTGTGCTTAATTTTTTTAACGTACATTTTAAAATGGTCTTTTTTATTGTATTCAATTGAAAAAAAAATTCATAGAAATTTTTGTTGTTTTACTGCTTTGCTGTTTTGCCTTTATTATATCTTAAAATATAACTGTACTTTAGTGAAGGTCATAAAACTAGATTTTGACACAGGGCTGTATCATTAGGTAACAGTGCAGGACCCATTTTAGTTGATGTGGTGCAAATTCCAAAATAGAAAAATAAAATAAAATATTTAAAAATGATATAAAGATTTTTTTTTAATTAATAGAATTTTAATTGTATAAAATAAAAATAAAAAACAGCCCCACTTTGCTAACTTAAAATATGATTATACTGAGGTCATAAAACTAGATTTGGACACAGGGCCATATCACTAGGTAACAGTGCAGGACCCATCTTACTTGATGTGGTGTAAATTCCAAAATAGAAAAATAAAATAAAAAAAATATTTAAAAATTAAATAAAGAAAAAAATATCTTTTAAAAATTAATAGAATTTTAATTGTTTAAAATAAAAATGAAAAACTGCCTACTTTGCTTACTTAAATTATAATTATACTGTAATCGTGGTCATAAAACAAGATTTGTACACAGGGCCATGTCACTAGGTAATAGTACAGGACCCATCTTAGTTGATGTGGTGCAAATCCCTAAAAACAAACAAACAAAACAACAAAATATATAATTTAATTAAATCTAAAATTGTATTTTTATATTAAAAAAATAAATAAAAATGTAGTAAGAGTAGAGAATTTTCTCTGTTACATTTCAGTTGGTTTAATAGACAAATTGACCTGGTTGTTCAATAAATTAATTTCAAATTGCACTTGTTTTCCGCTATCTGCCAATTTACATTCCTATTTGTACATTAGTGTTTTGATCTTTTTTGACACACATTTGACACACATACTGGAATATTGAAATTACTTAAAATGCTTTTAATTTTTTTTTAATTGAATAAATTATTAATATTACAAATACAAATTAAACTTTAGGTAGCCCATTAGAATAATGTAATCAATTGCGTTTTCAGTCTACTAGATACATTTTACTGCCGGACAAAAATGGCTAAAGTGAGATGAACAGACTTAAAACAGATGCTGACAAAGTTTTTCTTTAGGGACATAATTTACAGTTACAATACAATTTAAAATTGCAATAATATTGTATATTGTTTTTATTAAAAAAATAATTAATTAAATGCCCCATCACTATAGATTGTAAAATAAATAAATAAAGTAGAATAAAATAAAATAAAATTAAAATAATGCCCATCACACATTCCGTTGTACCATTTTATTTTGAAACGCCTCACCGGAAGCTCCATATATAACTGCTGTTGATTTGACGCGGGCCAATGACGCCATCTTGAAATTGTCCCGACCAGAGGAGGCGAGGAGGAGACAGACTTGGGAAAAGCAGCTCGTCCTAAACTCGATAGCTCCATTAGCCACACGGATTAACGGCAGCTTTATGGTTTATTGCTAACATCTGATAGTTATCCCGCTTGTTCATCCGAGTCATTTCGACGGGGGACGGTTGTTTGGCCCACTTTGGAGAGGGCTAACCCACCGGAGGGAGCCTCGTAATCGGTTGTTTGTTTCCCTGCTGGAGCGGACGGAGCTCCGGTTGTGGCCGGGCAGCCCCGCCGGACTGTCGGACGAAACTGAGGCTTCCACTCGGAATATAACCACAGCAATACATGATTTAAACTTCCCGTGGCGGCGGTGGGAGACTAGAAATGCTGATTTCACCGCCGCTGGTAACGTTTTAAAGCTATGCGACGGAGCCTGCCGAGGAGAAGTTTGATTTGAGAGCGGAGTGCGCTTGATTTCCAGTCCGATGGATGTTAGCCCTGCCCGGCTGTGGCTCGGCTCCCTGCTCCGCTGCTCTCACGGTAACAGGTCAGACACCAACAGACACAGGTGAACACGTCTGTTCAGGACAATGCTGCACACCTGGCAAGTACATGACAGCTCCGGCTTGAATGCCAACAAGTCGCCCTCCATTGCTTGTCTGTAAACCTGGAAATACCTCCAACCACCCCTCCTCTTCTTCACCCCTTCCTCCCCCTGTTATTTTTATGGACTTGCATTACCTGGGATATTTTGGATTTCCATATTGACATTTTTAAAGATGTCCTTTCTGCAGAGACAGTGCTCTCTGGAGCAGCAAGACATTTAATTTGACTGAGGCGTTTTTTAGATATTTTCTGGGGTGTTTTTGTTTTTTTATTCTCTTTCTAGACAGAGGATCAGATTCGGATGGAAAATGGGAGACGCCACCAAACTGGCCTTCGCCGTTTTCCTCATCTCCTGCTCTTCAGGTGGGTGTGGAGGGGGGGTTATGCATGGCTGTGGAGAACCCACTGTAATGCTTATTGTTGCCTCTGCAGAGTGCAATGCAACCCTGTGGGAAGGGGGGGGGGGGGGGGGGGGGGGGGGGGGGGGGGGGGGGGGGGGGGGGGGGGGGGGGGGGGGGGGGTCACACTCTGCCTCATTATGGATGCCTTTATTTTGCATCCTCCATGTGTGGATATGCATTGTACATGTTGCAGATGTCAGTAGAGAGCCTAAGATGGGGCCTGGGGACCTTTAGGGGCTCACACCAGCACACATTGGGCTTTTTAGGCTTTATTTAATAGCAGAATACAATGAACTGTTTGTTTGTGTGCCAATTTTTCCTCAATCATAATAACAGCAGTAACAAATCTGCCTTCAGAGGCTCTTAAAAAGCCTTTATCTTCAGTCATCACTACTGAAATGATGCACAAGTATAATGGCTAAAAGGTCATGGGAAGTTTGATTCAGATATGAGAAGGAAGGGGGAACTAGGTGTGGGTGGGCTGAGCCTATTTACAGCACATTCAGTTGTTTACGATGTTTATTATAACGCTGTTAAGTGTCAAACCTCATAGCAGCAGAGCAATTTTCAGCCTCGGTGCTGGCGGACATTCTTTATGTGTCCTCATTTCCCAGGGGTGGATGCACAATGAATGTCAGCGGGGTCAGCGAGGTGATAATAAGCTGTAAAGGGGTCAATCCAGGAGTGCGATTCTTCTTGCGGAGCATTGAAGGCATAGGTATTTTGTTATATGTGACATGCAGTGCTAAAATCACTGCTGTGGGCTGGATGTTTCGTTACATGCAGCTCAGCCTGCTCCACCTCCCCCAGATGAGACAGCCTATCCTCACATAACACCAAAATGGTACTTGAATGACCAGGCAGTGTTCATCTGAGTCCACACGCAGGGAGGGAAACTGAAACGGAGATTATAATCTCTCTGTTTGTTGTGATGTTTACTTCCTCACATGACAGAAAGGTGACACATAGTCAGCCTGTGCTGCTAACAGGTAGTAATAGCCTCACTTTGCATGATCTGTTGGTGTGCATGAGTGATTGACAGGAGGCAGGGCCTGATGCAACCACACAGATTCGTTTCTAAAAGAAAAATCAGACCTTCAGGCAGGATTTTCCCCCCTGTACTCAGATTACTTTAAGCAGAGCATGGAGTATCTTTTGAAATTTAAAAATGTATTGTTTGCGTGTGCGTGCAAGTCAACAAAACCGGTTTGGAAGTGACTGACCGGGCGTATAAAACACCCAACCTGCTCCAATTAAGACGTGAGAAATGGAAAAAGGTAAAATAAAATCTCAAGTCGCGCAGTGGAGTTGTCCTTTTACGGCGAGCCCTGGGGTGTCTTTGAGTGTTTGAGTAGAAATTAAAAGGCCTCTCAAATGCGGTAATAGTTGGGGTTGGTTAGAGTGTAAGCCAGGTGCTGTCTTTATTGCACAGCGCAGCAGATGATTATTCCACTCGCTCATTACCGTCTGAAGTGGGGAAATGAATGGTTCTTACTCGAGGTGGAATAATAATCCTCCATGAAATCCAAGTTGAATTGGCACAGCTCAAGACGACACCAAGAAACCTGTGATAAGGGCAGGGCACTTAGCCCAGAGTTGTTTTATTTGATGAGGCCTATTGCGACATGCCAAAATATTCCAGATAACGTCGAGATTTTTGATTCAGAGGCTTGAAAATGCAGAGGATCCCGTTTGTGAGAGCTGCAGTTGTTTGGCAACCAACAACTCAAGTTACACTGTCTTTTTATTTCGTTCAAATTAAACTCTGTTGCTGGTGTGCATTTCACCAGACAGGTGAGTTAGTGTTTATCTCCAGCAATCAAAAAATCATTTTCATTACATTTACTGTGATATGAAACAGAGGAAAGCAGCAGACTTAAACTATGTGGAGATTATTTGACACCAGAGCTGCAACTATTAATCGATGAATTGATTAGTTGTCAACTACTAAATGTATTCAAACTAATGAACAGAGTTTGGATCATATGTGTCTGAGTGGTGCTGCACAAGTGGGGCAAGATCGGCAATATGACAGGGTGATTTAACATGTAGCGTCATGAATCCCATAGATTCCATACCTTTGCCTCAATATTACTTTTAAACTGCATTTTTGAGATTTAGAAATTCACATGGCTCGCCTCGGGCGTTCAGTTGTCACTCGGAGCACCAGTGCACACTTTGGTTTTGTGTGAGCGTAATAGGTCGAAGGTACATAGCATTCTTTAACCCAACAAATTAACCATAGAGCCAACTGAACAGTCAGCTTCCACTACTGCTCTGTGTCTGCAGATCCCCTATAATGATGTTACATATGGAGAAAAATGTACTGTACAGTTCTGTTTGTGTTCTACACTGGGAATCTTGATGGAAATCTTATTATGGGTCTTCATAAAGTCGTGGAAAAGTTGAAATTTTATCCTTTTATCCACTTTAAATTTTGATATTTCCTCTTAAAGTTCATGTTATATAATAGTATATTGAATATTTTTGCATTTTGAACTGTTATTTAGACAAAACACTTGTTATTTAACACCTCACTTTGGAGAATAATGAGATAGTTAATAAAGTAATTGTGAATTGCAATTGGGAATATGTGCAATCACCGTACAAGTTCAATTAAAAGCCTAGTCACAATTAAACACCTTACTAGCCTGCTGTGGCTACACATGTTAACAAATAAAGGCCTGTCTAAATTAGAGACCTGGTCTGGTTGCTAAGCAGTTAATTTTTTCTATAGGAGGTCTTCAGATGTATAAAAGCAGGTTGTTGGCTACCTAAAATTATGCGTCCATTTCGCGACTACCCTGTAAGTTATTCGTCTTACTTTAGGCCGTAAGTGTCCTCAGATCAAAAGAGTTTTTCATAAAACTTAATCTAAGTTTTGAGTATTGTTTTAACATTTTTTAACATTTATTAATGATTTATAATTGATATATTATCTGAAGCCTGGTTTTCACATCTTTGCAGAGCAACAGTTTTGCGTGAAAGGAATTAAAGGCCTGTCCCAAATACATGCCTGTTGATTTCACTGATTTAAGCAAATAATAGCCCGGGCTACTAGTTGGAGTTTTACGGTAGTTGGCTAGTCGATTCAGCGTTGCTTCCCTTGCTAATCAATACCAGAGATGAGGGCTGCAACTAACAATTATTTTCATTGTCGACTAATCTGTCGATTATTTCTTCGATTAGTCGACTAATCATTTTATCGAAAAATGTGTCGGTCTGTCTCTCCCAAACCCCAAAATGATGTCATCTAATGTCTTGTTTCGTACTCACGCCAAAGGGTTTTAGTTCACCGTCATGGGGGAGTGTGTAAAGCTGCCAATATTTGAACGTAAGAAGCTGCAATAAGAGAATTTGGGGTACTTTTCTAGTACTTTTCTATGGAAAATGACTCAAACCGATTAGTCGACTACTAAAATAGTCACGATTAATTTAATAGTCGATTAGTCATCGATTAGTCGACTAATTGTTGCAGCCCCAGTGACAATGTTTTGTTGACCATTATTTCTTAGTTTTTTCCCCCCATAGCTAAAATTATGTTTCAGTAGAGTTCAAATCTGATATGATTTGTCTATGATTAAACATGTAGGGTCGCTACTACTTTTAGCAAAGAAAAATGACTCAAACCGATTAGTCGACTACTACAATAGTTACCGATTATTTTAATAGTCGATTAGTCATCGATTAGTCGACTAATCGTTGCAGCCCTAATCTCTATACATCAAAATTAGATATTTCTTTTTTTCATTGAAAAACTATTATACATCATTCCTAAAATGGGCCACTAACACACCAAATCAACAGTTTGTTGTCGGTCAACGTTGGTCGGTCTGTGAGTCTCTGTCGCCCTAGTTTTTGCACTTTGTCCCACAGCGTTGGTCCCTTTTGTGTTACTAGTCACCGATTATTTTAATAGTCGATAAGTTATCGATTAGTCGACTAATCGTTGCAGCCCTACCAGAGATACTAGTCGGTTAAATTTAGGATTGAAATTACTCTGATTTTATACGATTGCAATGACCCAGTAAAAATGCTGTTGTAATAATCAGGCATGTTTCCGAAAGATTTATATTCCTTAAGAATTTTAATTAGATGTTACTGTTAACTTTTAATTTGTATAGGATGGTGAGCGATATTTACAACGCACGGTGCAAAGTGCCTCATGTTTCAACAGATTAAGCTGTCAAAAAATGCGATTAACGATGTCACGTGGCTCTTATTACCTAGACAACGTTAAACCTTATAGATTAAATTGTGCTCAGTTTTTACAGTGTTTTCTTTCGTCTATGTTTAAACGTCAGGAAAAGTAGTCGTTAAGATCATGCTACTTGCAACCTTAAATATTAATGTTTTAAGAAACTGTGCCAAGCTAATGCTAAGTATTTTTCTAATGAATGAGGTGAATTATTAATCAATTAGATCCTGATATATCTGTGTTGTTAAGCATTAGCATGCTATGTGCAGTATATGGGAGACTGTTTATTTATGACCCGTCAGCATCGCCTGATTAAGCCTTAAAACCAGACGTGGCTTGCTTTTGTAATACGCTGTTATTTCTGGACTCGAAGGTGTCCGTATTCACAAATAAAAAAGGCATGGATGTGAAATTTGACCTGGTTTAGTGTTGCATACAGCAGCTGCCCGGTGTTTTGATCCATGCTGGCATGTGTAAATGCTGCTGTAACACATGGCGGGTCAAGGTTGTCTGCCAAAGTGTTGATGTGACAGGATAGTAAATGGGCTTCTTGTGCGTGTGTGTGTTTTGTTACCTCGAACACCTTTCTCTCTTCTGCTTAACTGGAAAGGAAGATTTCACTTCCAGGGAACTGATAATGCAGCCCTGCAGCGGGCGGGCAGGATGTGCAACTCACGTCATTTGTTTGAAATGCAGCATCGATAAAGAAAGATGTTGAAATCTACCTCTTTGCGTATCCCTCCTTTTTACACACACACACGTGC